TTGATTCGAATCTAATCCCTTTGTTTTCCATTTATATTTTTCGATAGCAACACGATCCTACGTCTCGGGCCGCTCGAGGCGGTACAGCGAATGCTCAATGTTCAATCACTTGTAATCATACACACGATGATTATAAAGACCGACCATGTAAAAGCCGGCCAGTTTACTTGAAGCTCTCCGATTACAAGGTAGGCATACAGTAATTACCTTCCACATTCCTCTGACCCGGTGTGCGGTGTGCGGTGTGCGGTTGCTACAAAGTACCGGGATCTTCAAATAAAGTCTGCGCATCAAGATCAAGATTGTTTTCCGCGATCGTAACTAAGTTTTAAACAGTCATTGTGGTAAGAAAGTACACCTTTAAGGGTTGCTAGGGCCACAACATCTCATCGTATGAGATACCGGCATCGCATAAACAATTGCTCTACTTGTGAATACAAGGTTGGTGTATAAAAATATTTAACAATCTCGGGACTTACATAAAACTGATGATTTGGAGACGGACTATACTTAGCCTACTCAGCCATTCACTTTACAGTTTAGGTTCAGCTGATAAACTAAAAACTATAATTTTCTAAAACATGTTTCAGCGCGATTCTTTACCCTTGACTAAAGCTTTCTACACCCTAAATCCCTCTCCCCCGATGTTTGCGTGCCGTGCTAAACCTCTCTGATAAAATGATAATACAGTACTATCAAGCTACTGCTAACTAACAGAGAATCGCATATATCAATATGCAGTACAAGCAGCGGTGTGCAGCTTCGGCCGTATCTTGTCCATTTACCGCGCCACCTGTCATGTTATCACTCCTTATCACAAGGTCAAGGTCAGTGTGCGATCCCCCCAGCAGAGAAAATAGCCCCGGCGAGACACCTTACTGGCTGGGAATCGGTCCAAACTCTTACACATTCATCTAAGCTATTCTGGGAGACCTGTCGTCTGGTGGACAAATACGTCCGGTGTGGTCGAAATCGATTCCCACTCGATATCGATTGTCAAAGTTTTGATCTAGGATCACAAATACTACTAGTGTTAACAGTCCGTTGTATGCGAACACAAAGAAAACGGTTAAAATATCGGTACAATATCAATATTAGTACCCAGAGAAAACGCTGATTTGAGCTAGCAATAAATTTGGAGCAACGGGTTCTTTACAGAAGCTTGTACCTGCGTTGCAAAACTGACCGCTGTTGATAATGAGGTGAAGAACGGCGTTCCGCCTTGATTGTTCGTGAAAAATCAGAAAGCGGAGACATCCAAGGGCTGGTTGGCATTGGGGTCGTCTCTATTGTGCATCCTACCTTCACTTGGAAACCTACAGGGCGGAGTCATAGTTTCATAAATATACTTAACATTCAGGACGATATAGTTATCAGATACAATATACACAGGGTGTTTTACTAAAACACAACAAATACAGTAATAACAACTACCGTGAGGAACTTTTTAACGACAAAACCAACTTATGTTTATTTATAGTATCGGGGGCATCCCTGTTTTATTTACTTAATTTCCGATCAGTATGCAGTCAGTGCAGCTTATCAGATCAGTCAGTATCAGTATGCAGTCAGTATCAGATCAGTCAGTATCAGATCAGTCATGCAATGGGTGTTGATATCTTTGAGGTTAAGTTTTATCGATAAGTTATTGTAAATACGATCATAGATTAAAAGAGTATACAGTAGACATGGCTCAACGTGGTGTTTTTGCAAGCTCAAATAAATAAAAAGTGTGTAGGGCCTATTATTGTAGGTCTAAGATTTTCTTGTTTTTTACAGATACGATTTCCTTGAATTATTGACAATCCTATGAATAGTTGATTTTTAGGTACTGGAATCACGCACAAATGGAAACCTAATTTCAAACCTGTACTGGCGTAAAACCCAAATGATTTACTATAATGTACAATACATACAATATGAGCTTGCGAAACCCCTATGTAGATTCTTAGGTCTATTCACAATTAGTTCCCAATTCAAACTCATAGAAAACTATGCAACAATACTGATTGGCTGATCGGCAATGAATGAAGTAAGGTAAACTGGGATATGTTCCAATATATGATTTTTTTGTTAAACAGACAAACAGTGTCTTACGCTACTGTACATGTATTGGGTTGCGAAAAACACCCTATGTAGTCAAGTGACCATACGTTTGGTCTGGTCACAGTAACAGTTCCAGGGTAGTAACAGTTGCTCCAAGTCACAGTTCATTTGCGTAACCACCACGGCGCCTGAGTGGGCAGTCGTGGGTTCGAACATCCGGCCTCACTAACCTCGCCCCTAGTCTGGTCACAGTAACAGTTCCAGGGTAGTAACAGTTGCTACAAGTCACAGTTCATTTGCGTAACCACCACGGCGCCTGAGTGGGCAGTCGTGGGTTCGAACATCCGGCCTCACTAACCTCGCCCCTAGTTTGCATTAAAATATATCACTTTCAACTCACTGTTTTACAATCACAGCAAAGACTCGATCGAACTATTCACTTAATGACTAATTAACTCAATAATCTACTTGACATTATTTGTAAACCATATTTAACCTATGTTACATACTCTGACTAAATTTACACTACGGAGGAACTCTAAAATTTCACTGATATGATTTTTTAATTATATACCTGTTCAATAAATCATTCAATAAATCACATAATAATTTCAAGATTCAATGAAATTGACAACCGAAGGTCAATAAAAACATACATTCAAATAAACCAGATTGCGATGTTTGGTGTTTGTCCACCTCCAGTCTCCCGAGTTAGGTAATAAAGTAAAAAGGGAAATGTTATCATCAATTCGTATGCAGCACTGGTGGTCCGTTTATTATTCTGATGCCTTGAATAAAACACAACACACCCCCTCTTTACCATGAGAAACTGTTCAGTCTATTTACTTCAATTTGGGTGATTCGTTTTCAATTCAAGTTTCGTTATCCCGATGTCAAATAAAACTCATATATTCACCGCTTGACATGACCATTTAGATGAAACTCAGACCACCAATCGCTAAAAACCAACTCTGACGTTGGTGAGATTAATAGATGTATTTTTAGAAATAATACGTTTATAACATTGAATCCATCCAACTCGAGATATGTAATATTTTTTGCTACTCGCCCTGATTTCATGATGAATTCCGCTTCGGTACCTTTTAATTTCAACTTCTTTCTTCTCAACAACAATACGCTGCGCCAACTTTAATACTTCCTTTTTAATCCTCCCTTTTCGGTGTCATTTGAATTGCTACATTGTACAATTCGAGTGCAGTTTTTTATTTACGAGTTTGACTTTAATATTAAAGTTTGAACTTTTCATGTTCCAATTAGAACCATTGTTCGACTGTTTTGTTTATTTGTTGGTTTTAAATTTCTATACACAAAATTATTCATCCAGTATCCACCATTCATAAAATAAAATATACTTGTTTGTTTGTTTTTCTGGAAATTGATTGTAAGAGTCGATATTTTGGTAACTATTAGCCTAACTATGTAACTTATCGATTCTCGTCGCCACCCCAAAGTGTAAAAAATACACTTCTATGGTATTATCATAGATGAAGTAATTCATCTATGGTATTATATTGCTACGATCTTCCAATAATCATTAAAGAAATCAAATTGCACTAAGATAGAGGACACACTGTAAAAATTAACTGGGTTGATTACGACTGTTTAAAATTAAGCTGAAATACATTAACAGGCTTCATAGTTTTCAAATAAAACTGACGAACAGCGTTCAATTTGTTTGGGAATGGTCCAAATCCTGGTCTTTGTATTATCTAATGCTGACGTGTTATTAACGAAACATTTTATTACCCAGGACATGACTCTTCAAACTTGGAGTGTTTGGTGAGTCAACGTGAGAAATAAAATATACAAGTGACAAGGTCAAGGATATCCTTTTGCTCTTGCACAACATGGAATTCCCTGTTGTGCTAAGTATGAACTAGACTTGTTTACACCAGTAGGACTTCCAGACGTAATACTGTTTTACAGACATTCTTCATCGTTGATTCTGATTTAATCACGTAGTTGTCCTAGTCCACGCCGAAATATCATCCATCTATGTACCAAATACCAACAATATAACTCCATAGCTTCTAAAATGTTTGACACAACTCGACAACCACAGCGGCTTGTAGCTTCTGATCTGACTTTGTAATTCGGGGATTCCATTCAAAAGTAGTTTGCCTTCTAAGAAGCCGCACTAAATTCTACACACGCTTGTGGTTGTAGTCAGCATGCGCGGGCATTTCGACTCCTGTGAGGAATAAACGGGCAGCGCATGACGCTATGCGACGACACTCGACAATGGCGTGGAAGTAGCAAGAAATATCTTCCGAACTAAGTTTGTTACAACAACAGTTTTCTCACAGGAACGTTGGATTAAACAGTTACCGAGTTTTGACACGGGGTTGTTTATACGAACGGATGCTGCGGATTCAGCTATATTTCAACTGGTTTGGGTGTTGCAGAAGGAAAATAAATAAGCTACGTTGAAAATTTGGCTGATTGTGATTCCAATTTACCTTGCTGATGGAGAAAATACTTATCGTAGTGTCAATTCAAAGCGGGACACTTCGTGTGAATTCACAGAACCCAAACTTTGATTCTGCCGAATCATGTACCAGGTGATCGGTGGCGACAGTTTTCCATATCCTCCCCGGAGGTCCTCACCATGGATGTCCGGATGACAATGAACACCGGAAGTCCTACAATGCTGCCAGGTGCTTCCGGTGTAGCACGCGCCGCTTCCGCCCACTTCCGGCGATCGTCGCACGTCGTGTCCATTCAGAATTTTACGAATGTGGTATTTTCATTGTTGTTGCCTCCTTCCAGGTGATTCCGGGTCAGAACGATAAGAAAGAAGATTAATATCAATGGAAAATACTACCAAGTCAACCTCAAATAATCCTATGGTTCGATTATCGTACAGAATCGCTATCCTGCAATGCATACTCTTGTATGTATACTTGTTTAATTTGACCTTGTTATTGTTGCAGATGAGTGGTAAACGGACCCGCAGCTTTAAGTGTGCGGTCCACCACAGAGACGGCGAGGTGAGCAGCGAGAACGACTTCCACGTGCTGTTGGAGGAACCTCCGCTGTTCCGCAGGTAAAACCAACACTCAGGGATTGTTAGGGTAAAGTGGAGGGAATGAAAGAGAATAAAGTGAGAATGCAGTATTTGACAGCGTCAATCCAAAAATTGTAATAAAAATAAGTACCGAGATGTTCTTTTTCATTAGTTGGGGGAGGTGCTAATGCTGTTGTTCTGCTTTGGCTGAAAGGGGTTTTCAAGGAGGTAGAGCGTGTAAAGCTGCGATCACGTAGTATTTTTGTTAAATGTTGCGATTGCAAAAGACGTAAGGAAAAAGAAAAAATACCGTACACATTTTTGCGATTGAGAAAGGAAATAGTTATTTGTGTAACTAGTGGTGAAAGTGACACTTTGCTGCACACGAGAGCAATGTTTACGCACGAGCCGCAGGCGAGTGCGGAATGATCTCGAGTGCAGCAAAGGCCTTTTTCACTCGTGTTACACATTATATTTTTCCTACAGTCACTATAAAGCATATAAATAATTAGTCTTTCAAACACTATACAACACGTTTTTAAGTTCAGCTGGCAACACAAATGGTGCCCTAGAGAAAGTAGTACCCGTGGTAAGTATCACTCCGCTATTTTTCCTCGGCAAGAAATGTGCTCCGCGTTTTGAGAATATAGTTCCGTATGTTTTTGTAATTTGAAGTGGTTTCCGCGCCTAAAAAAATGCTTTAAAGGTATTTTCTTGTTTATTAAGATCGTAGGAATGTTTTAAAAACGTTTAAAAGAAAAGTCCAGAAAGTTCAGAAATACCGAAACTATAAACACGAAATGACAGGTTAAATCGTAGTTATAATCGTCAATCAGCTGCTCATAGTATTATTATCTTTAAGTGTTGCCAACCTATTTCCAAGCGTACACGGATTACGTGCATAATAGACCCACGCTGTTTTGTGTTGCTTCGTTGGAATCCTGATGTGCGGCAAAGTATAAACCGTACGGCAAAGTATAAACCGTACGGCAAAGTATAAATATGCAGCAATTAGCAGCTTTCTGTACTATAAACAGTACAAGGAAGCCAACTTTGTCGGGTGACTGTAGGAAAAGATAATTTGACGTTACTCCACATTATTTTTTGATGTGGAATAAACGATTAAATTAATGGAAAATACAACTATGGGGTTTTTGAAGTTTCCTGGCTAATAACGCTGTGTGAAGAGATTGTCTGTGAAAATAAAGAGATAAGGGAAAACGTGTTCCACGGACCATGTATTTGATGAAGTTTTGAGGAAATTTCGAACCACTAATGGGAGAATGTAAAAGACTCCTTTTATCTATGGTAAATGTAAAATATAATTAGTAAATGTTATTAGTACTATGTAATTAGTAATTAGCAAGGGGGTTGCGAACAGGGGGATGAATGATAAGGGGGAAGAATGTACAAAGAAGTTTTCCCCTTAAAATTAATTGAATAAATGATTCATCAAAAAGTAATATTTTATTCATGTAGTGCCAATGAAACGGATAAACAATTTTCAATGATACCAGTTTACCTCAACGTTTACCAGTTACGTGTTCAAGAACTGAGTGTTCGTATTCAGAATTAACATGTTTATTTGTTGGCTATTTCAGGAATAGAACAGAATCGGTATTTTTGGATTCTTCACTCAAGCGAGTTATTTTTAGTGTATCGCATTAAGCTACTGGTATTCTTTTGCTTAGTATTTACAATCAATGCTACCTGGCATTGCCAATCAGCATGCAGACGGTATTGGGTTGTGTTTTTGTTCATGTTCGCAACAGCGTTACCTTTATGCAATTTGCTTGTTTCAGGATGGTACAAATCATCGCAGATGAGTTCCTCACCGAGGAAAGAGATAGGAAATACTACGCGGACAACTACAAGTGTTACCCCCCGCCGTTCTTCATTTTATTCATTACTGTTGTGGAGGTGAGTTGTTTCCTTTTACCTTGCTATTTAGATTATAAATTTATCTCCGTTGTAGAATTGAATGTGAAATACATTGATATAATACTTTCCTGCTACATGTGGCCAAGTTTTAAGCTATTGCTATCCTTGAGAGTGTTTTAACCCACTTAACAATTGATTACTGTAATTTTGTTTAATTATTCGTTTCACTAGGCCTGATGTAATTTGAATCACATAATTTTCCATCATATTGAAGGCGAATCTCTAAAATTAGTAAACATCTTTCTAAGAACCCTATGATAGCAAGAGTCAGAACAGAAAATGTCATTACATATTCACGTGTACACACAACACGTAAACCTATGTACAAGAAGCTTGACTTCAAATCTCGTCAATCACAAATAATGGCTTTAATCTCCGTGGTAACGTTGAGACCAGGCGGTCCGAGCCAAGCTGTTGGTCCTCCTTCCTATCTAGAAAAAAGGAATTGTTCTTTCAGATGAGAACTGTCAGCGAATTTGAGAACTATCTCCACGCCGATGCGATGGTAAAATTTCAATGTAATTCCGCTCATACAAAAGGTTAGAGCAATTGTGCAATTACTGGCCCAATAATAGGCAATTTAGTAGAATCGTAGAACCAAACAGCATGAGGTTGATTGGAAAATAAAAATATACAATGCAGTTGTAAAAAATGATTTAGACTCCAATGTCAACACCTGCGCAGAAAATATTTAGATATTTAAAATCTAAAGATTTCGTTTATATTTGAAAACTATTTATTTAAATGTCATTTGCAGAAATACAAACCCGCCCCAAAACAGAACCCTGAGTTTCATCAGGTAAACTCTGCACCGACATCTGGTCTAGGGGCTGCTTCTCTTCTGGTTCTGTTTCCCTAAATGTGAACGTAAAGTCATATTTCACAGCGCAGGCGCGCCGTCCACTTCCGGTTGCTAATTGATGCGCTTCCACTAGAGCACTTCCGGTTTTTAATTTTACGAAATCCTATTCCAGTTTAACGATGCGTGCCTTAATTTGCCTTGGAATTGAGCCTGCCACGCTGATAGGATAATTTAAAAGCCATCTTTTACACGCAAGTATTGGTTTCAGCCTCTAGTTTAGAGGAAAGCTATAAATACACGTGTTTTATGGATAAAGGCCTTTTCACACCGGCGTACTGGACGTACTGTACGTTTGGTACGTTTTTTTTTTCAACAAATCGCTGTCCATGTTATCATATGGGCTCGTTCACACCGCGCGTACAGAACGTACTGTACGTACAGTACGTACGCGATGGTTTTGTGAGAATCGCTCGGAGAGCGATTTTTCTAAATCGTACGAGGCGTACGCGAGCTCGCGCATGCGCAGTGGTCACACCAAAACCACGTGCTCAGCCAGTGTTACTTGTCTGACTGCAAACGCAAACGAACAAGTGTACGTTTTGGAAGTTTCTGTGCGGTGTGAAAGGACCGCGTACTGTACGAACTGGCCGTACCAAACGTACAGTACGTCCAGTACGCCGGTGTGAAAAGGCCTTAACTACGTAAAACATTTGCTCATATAAACATTTTTTACAATAAAATATTAGAGAGAAGATCAAACTAGCTCAATACTACTCGCTGGTCAAATAGCACATCTCTAGAAATCCTTCAACCCAACGTAGTTTAACAAGTCAATTAAGGCTCCTCACAACCTTCTGCATTTATCACCTTGAACAACAAAAGGAAATCCGATTTAACGACCAGAGTGATAAATGGTTTTAATATCCTCCGTAATCTAAAGAGGGGTCCGAGTACGATCCCTATATTGCAATAAGGGAAGGAACAAGGATTATGCGCCTAGGAACGGCGGACGGCGGACTAAGTTGTCAAGTAACGACTATGTAGACAAAGAATGTAGACTATGTAGACAAGAAACGCCGGACCGAAATATAGCGTGTCTAGGCGGTCTATTTCAGACGTGATTCTGACACCTTTTGTCTAAAGCTTTGAAGTGTTTGAATGACGTTTGTATACTCGAATGGCGAGTGTTGCTCAAAGATGTTAGTTCTGACAGATTTGGGTTTGAGGTAGTAAAAGTGGAAATGCTTAAAAGTTATGTAGAGTAAATTTGTCTACGTAAGATTTAGGATTACTATTAATTGTTTCTTCAAAGTGGCATCCTAGATCATTTACTTAAAACACGTTAATGTTTGACTTTTAAAACACCTGTCAAGAATAAATTAGTTACGTTAGACTCAGACATTCAACGAAATGTTTTTATTTTTCATATCCATTCCCGTGACGTTGTATCGTTTATAACCGCTTCAAAATTAGACCAGTCCGCTTTAAAAATTCCTTGACAATAAGTTATTAGTTGAAAATTCAACATTGATTTCCCTGTCACGTTTATCTGTGTCTTATTGTTGTTGTTGTTGCTATTAAACAAAGAATATAGCTTAAAATAATTTAAAACTAAACCATTTCATCCTTCTCGTACATGTTTGTAGTTTTGTAAAGGCGTGAGTCGCGAACTTATGGTCAAAGGAAACCGAAAGTCGGAATCCTTATTCGCAGTTTATTTTCTTCCAGACAATATTTACAGTCCGCAGCTGTTTTTACTCCCGCTTATCCGGCCAGTTAAGATTGAGTCGTTTTCCGCTGATTCGCACCGCCTCAGTGACTGTGTGTGGCCCCTCAGCCTCTTTTGTTGTCGTTTTTCTCCGCGTAACAAAAAACATCGCCCGTGCCCCCTCCCCCTCCTTGCCCACGGTCATCAGCTGTGAGGTGGGGGGGGGCGCCGACAGACGGTAATCACTTCATCACAATCAGCTATCAACAATCACACCGCCGCCACCGCCACCGAGATCAATCAGATGTTTTCGGTAATTGAATCTCATGGAGGCAGTGACAGTGACACGTGATTATGGCTGTGGGAAATGTTGACCAGGTGTCGGTTCGATTGTGATTTAATTGTTGTCGCTCTGAGTCATTATGTATCAAGAAGCAATTCTATAATCGATAACGTGGCGTTCATTTAATATTACACTCAAATTTCTTGTGCGCGTTAATTTTTACGGTTAAATGTTTTTACGCAGTTAAAGAGTTCAACTTGACTATATTTGTTTACTTTCCATTAACTTAGCCAACCGGTTGGTCTACAATATTCGTAAAACATGTGCTTTTACACTTCAGTAGACATAAGTGACTAACGTCTACATTTTTAAAACAACTATACTGAAAGTTAACTCAACACCTAGTTGAATATATTACTGAATTTAATACAAGTTTTGTTTTATTTATTCTAGAATGAGGATGAATGTGTGCCAGTGTTTTTGTGCAAGATATATTGTCCTACTATCCACCCTCGTCGCATTGCGTGCCGTTTCCCAGTCAGCCCGAGTATAAACTCGCCCTGCGTGGAGATAATCATAAAGCCCCTTCCCATCCCTTCGCCTTACTTTTACTCTGTGGTCATAAATTCACCCAATTTATCTACTCTTGGGGAAATTGCGAAGGAAAGTTTTACCGAAATGAGCAGAGTGATTTTATGTATGCAGTTTTAATAATAAGGTGGAAAACTTTCCGTCCAAGGAAATAATAGTTTTGATAACATGAGTCTTTATTACGAATACTTATTTTATAACTGTGCAGTATATGCAATTCTCCTTGAAGTCTTGGGTGACAGAAGTAGGGTTTACACCGGTATCTTATTTGCTCAACTGTTGATACTGGAACAGCGCAAAAACGACCCAGCCAATAAAATACCCAACAATTTGTCTACGATGTTTTGAGTGTGTTTTCCCGCGACAATATTAGTTTTGGGGGTGTAAAAAGTCCGTAATTTGTCAAAATGTCTGGAGGGGGTTTGGGTCGTCAGGTGGTAGGACCGTTGAGGATGTAAATTTGGAACGTGCCTAGGGGGAGGGTCATTTCGGGACACCCTCTTCCGCATTTCGAGAAATCCGTGAATTATTGGGCGGGCTGCCGCACATGTGGTATTGCAAGTTAAATGGCGCCTGTCTACTGTGGGGCGGTATTTTTGTACTTTTAATGAATTTACGTAATTGAAACGTTGAAAGATTTCACATGAATTACCACATGTGTATTGCTAAACGTCTGTTGTCGTCAATACTCACATGACGACTATTGGATATAGTTGAGATGTTCGATTAAAATTTGTCTATATATTTTTAATAAGCTTACAACTTATCACTAGAGTCGCAAAGCACCTTAGAGATCATTGTAGTTGTTGGTATGTCACTCCTAGTCATCTCAATAACTCTATAGCAATAATTGTGAAGTAGATTTGTTGTAATGATTTTAGTGATCAGAAAATGTGTTGCACGAAACAATTGCAATAGATTTTTGTTTCTTTTACAAAACAAAGATATCCAACAAGTTATTACTGTACTGAGGATGTCATGAGTCGCAATAATCTATGCAGTTGTATAAAAATACAGTTTGTGATAACGGTATAATGCCGTTGTTGATATGAGTTGGTTCCATCGATCTCTAACAATACAACTAGTATTGCAGTAGAGATCGATGGTTGGTTGTACACTTGTACATGTACAGTATTGCTCCGTGGGTAACAACCGCAACACATATGCGTGCTGCGGAATGATTTATAGCGATTGCAGGCGCACCAGCGTTGTCTCGACATGTACACAATATGGGTTACAGTATTTTGTTTAAACAAATGTCGGACAGTTTTTGCTTTCGAAAAATGAAAGATTACATTAAATGGTTTTTATTTTACATAAGTATTTCGGTTTCCATTGAAAATGTTAAATTTATTAACGCCGTGTGATTCGGAAATACATAATTATTTAGGCTAATCTCCACTAGCATACAAAGGTGATACGCACATTCCCAAGTCCCAACTGATGCTACTGGTATTGATTATACTTTTCGTTTAACAATGCACGAGTCCTAAATAAATTATCACCTGGTATTTCAGTTCGTGTGACGGAAGTAGTTAATTTCCCCAGTACCATTTCCGGCTGGTAATCTTGGTTTCCCCAAAGAATCTCAATTAAGGTGTTCGTGTGTTTCATCAGTTGTTTGTATTCCTGTGTCCGTAGATTACATCTTTCTTGCTTGTTATCAGATTCATAATTCCATGTTTTTGTTTTAAAGTATCACGTTGTTGATTGTTCTTTTATCCACCTAGAATCTTGTTATTACAATTATATGTACGTACATACTCGGGCGGCAATTCAACGTCAAAATAGTTTCAATAAAAAAAGCATGATTTTTTTACCCAGTTAAAAACTGGGTTTTTAAAATAAGGGTTGTGCGAGTGTACCATAATTTAAGATGAAAGCTATTCTTACAATAACAGAACAAGATACTTATGTACTGAGAGGTAATAGTATTTCAATGGGGTTTTCTTATTTAAGAATTAAATGCTTATTTTTCTAATAAATAATTAAAAAATACTTTGTAAAAAATGAAAAAAAGAAGAAAAAAATGGTTGGAAAGTTTGATTGTCAAATGGTACTTTCATAATGATTTATAAACGGAATTTCATTGTTTTTTAATATTCTTGATTGCTAAAAATGTGTTTTAACAAGAAGAAGTTATTTATCTGTGCAAGCCTACAAATAAAACGTAGGTAATCAAGTTTTACCATATATTTGTAAATGGTTTTGTTTTACTGAAGTCAAAATTGTATCACATAAAAATGCCAAGTACTGTATATACTTATACTTAGAGCGATTTGGTGGTAAGAAGCACTGTCTGTGGTAAAAAAATTGGTAAAAAATTTTCTGTGGTGCATTAAATAATAATTCTAAGTACCATAGCTTAACCCTCCATATTGGCAAATGTAAAAGAAAATTTAGTCTGGTTTACCTCTCTTATATTCGTAATGTTTTTATTTTACTTTGACAATTACATAACCTTCATAACTTTACAGTTACTTACTGAAACTAATCTCATACATTGTTCCAGTTGGGGTTCTTCACTTACTACACAATTGCCAATGGAGAGATCAACCCCAGTGGCCCTGTTCCAATAGACAGTATCTTCATATACAGACCAGACAAGCGGTTAGAACTCTGGAGGTTCTTCTTCTACATGGTGCTGCATGCTGGGTATGTAACCCCTCAGAGAAATTAATTAATTAAAGAATTGATATGAGTCATTTACTTTACCAAGCCGGTTATGCACTTTGTGTACCTATGCATTTTAAGCTGATATGAGGGTATAGTGATGTGTGTATTTTTGTTACTGACTAAGATGAGCTGTTTCCTTTACCCAGGACGATTTAATTATTAAAAGTGCAATGATAAAGGACCGCTGGATTTAGTTTTGAACCATCGGACACGGCTACTGACATTGCTCAGGATCATACCAGTGATGTTCTAATTGTTAGGCAAGCAACGATAAATGAACACCACCATTCCTTTAACTAATCTCTATCTCATCAGACATGACTCAAAGGTGGGTTGGTTTGATGGACTTACCTTTTAGCAAGATGTAACACTTTTAAGTTTTTCTAATACGTAATAAGTAGGTAACTTGTATCATTACTTGTACCAACACACTCGAACATCCGTCCAAAGCTAACAATCAAAAGTCTCATGCATTCGCTAAGTTTGGGGCTCGCCATGTGCAATACACAGCTTTTATTATTTAGTAGTGTTTGTTTGGTTTGTCTTTAATTTCAAATGAAATCTCTTACTTCTGTGAACTGTCTTGTTGGGTGTACTTGGTAGCTTGATATTTTCCTACCACTTATCTAAATAAAAAGACAGAGAATTTCATCAAACTATGCAGTATAGTTGAATTATATGCCTAAAATCAATAATGGGTATGTAACTATTTTTAGATTTAAAGATCCCTCCCATTGCAAGGCACAACTAATAGTTGGTTAAAATTAGCCATCATAGTTAACAGTTAAGTTGAAACAATTAACCATCATAATTTTTTAAGTGTAATGACAAATGTTAAAACTGCAGAAAGAATAGTTTATACAACTAATTTTGCAACAAAGATACCAACATTTCAATATTGGTGGTAAATAAGAACCAAATATTGAAATATGCGTAACAAACATTTTCATTTGTACCATCACAATTTTAGGGATTGGACACAGTAGGATGGTGGAACCAAAACTCCACTTGGTAATCTTGACCAGTTTAGGGGGGTTACCCTTTGCGTCATAACCCTTGGGAGGGATGGGCACCCCTGATGTACTACGTTAAGTTTAACCACATCAAAGGGATATATGTTCCTGGTGAGCTGATTGAGATTTTTGTTTTTCCACAGTTGGCTGCACCTGCTTTTCAACCTGTTGGTTCAAGTGTTGGTAGGCCTACCTCTAGAGATGGTCCATGGGTCACTGAGGATAGGCACTGTCTACATGGCCGGTGTACTAGCAGGTAAGCTAAACTGTCATGTTCTATAACAGTTATTTGGAGGTCAAAACATTATGATAAAAATATATGTCAATCAAAATAATATTGTAAGAACAAACTTTTCTTGGAAATTTTGCACCCCTAAAAACTTGGCACACTGCTACACCCCAGTCAATTTACACAAAGTGGGCCACCTTCTCCGTAACTGACATCTTCTCCGTGAATAAGAATCCTTTCCTTCCTCTTCAACTTTCAAGAAATCTTTTAATAGCTGAATGAGTAGCCTAGTGCTCGGGTGTTTTGCTGAGTAGTGGGTTATAGTGCTCGCCTTCAAATCTAAAGGTTGCAGATTCAACCCTAAGTATGATTAATTCTGGATTCAAATGCAGGTTGGACTATCAATGATGCTATCAATTACTGGGGGAAAGAATCCCCCAAGTGGCTTGTTTGGTCTAATTCGTTACAGAAAGCATATTAAATGTCAAAAAATTTTAAAACAACATTTTAGTTTGAACATTTCTCAAAGAGAGAGAATGCCATTTTACCCCTTTCTGTACTCAAATTGTGCCTTAGTTATGTAACAAGCTCAGCTGTTATTTGGCAGTTTTCAAATGTTGGGTGATACCAGGATACCCATAGACTAACCAACACAAGAAGACTACTCATCCCATTATAAATTTTGAAGCTCGTTTTTCGTGTCTAGTTAATGAACGTCAACACTGATCGCTACCCAGTAGTGTAGGCGAAATTTTGTTTCTAGTATTTTAGGGTTATTTTCATGATTTGTGCTTTACTTTTTGGTTAAATATAACTTGGAGACCAGTTATTGTTTGGTTAAACGAGGTTTTAATTGACTTAAATAACAAGAAACTAATTGTTAACAAAACACAGCCTCTACAGTGCGACGTATAGAACTATCAATAAAATTTGCTTCAGCTGTTCTATAAGGATGAGGAATCTATTAAGGAGTGTGTTTTATCTATGGTGATATATTACAAGTTGTTTGTTCCGCAGGTTCACTCGGAACGTCGGTGTTTGACACAGACGTTTATCTGGTGGGAGCGTCGGGAGGAGTTTATGCCCTTTTAGCAGCTCATCTTGCCAATGTCTTGCTGGTATGTTTGCTTTTCATCCTGAGTGTAGTAGGCTTAGGGTTGAAGCATTAATATTGTGTTGGAACACAAAGATTTTGAAAAAAATTATCTTATTTATGAAGGAAATGTTTGAAGTGTAATAACTAAATAAATTAACAACTTTGGAGATTTTCTTGTAGCAGATTATAGTTGAAAATATTCTATGACGAGATATATTTTATTCAACTAAAATTAATCAGGAAAGCCATATTAAAAATACAGTGGTGTTTTAGTAACAGTTTTCACAATTTTTTTTTCGTAAATTCCTTGGTACGACAACATATGTTATTATTTGTTGCTTAGAAAAGAGTTTACATATAACTTCTTTACTACAGTGTATCTAATTTGTAATGTTTTTTTTTCAGAATTACAGCAACATGGAGTTTGGCACTGTTCGTCTGGTTGGCATTTTCATTGTTGGTAAGTAATAAATAAGCGTTTATTCTCACTATGTTAGGCTTGTGGCATTTAAAAATCTTTAAAATTTATAACTTTCCTTAATTTGAGACCAAGCACTATTCTCATTAATAATTCCAACCGAACTGGTTTGGATTTAGTAAAAGTTAGCGCCCTAGTTATCTATTGAAAGGTTTAGTACCTATACCTTAAGTGTATTTGGGAATTTAATAAGTACCTGCAACAAAGACAAACCTTGAGAGATGATTGTATGGATGAAAAGTATTACGGCATAACATTGGAAACAAACAAAACAAAAATGACATTTTAAGATTAAAGCATTAAATATACGTGTATGTTGTGGTGTTTACCAGATTATCAGGTCAGACATCACAGTTATGGTGATTAATGGAAAGAGGTGGGGTATAATCTAGGCCCAGGCATGTCAACCATTGTGCATTGTACATGAATGTATAACTGTTATGCTGATTCTATCACCGAAGCTCAATAATTCACAGTATATTTTTTGTTTTCTTGCCTATGTTACTTATCTACCCATGCAACATATTCTAACATAAGATTGTGTTACAGCCAGCGCAGATGTTGGGTTCGCAGTTTACGACCGTTACGCCGCTGAAACCCTCGGTCCACCAGTCAGCTACGTGGCACATCTCACTGGAGCAGTAGCGGGTCTGACCATCGGACTGATTGTTCTCAAAAACTTTGAGCAGAAACTCCACGAACAGTTGATCTGGTGGGTGTCGCTGGGAGTTTACGCGGCTTGCACCATCTTCGCGATAATCTTCAACCTGTGCACGGATGCTTACGACCCGTGATATCACGCCTACTATGTCAATTTGGCATAGTAGAGAAATGTGAGAAACTTTTAAAAAACGTGTTATGTTTCATGAAACGACAGTGAGAAATGAACAATGCATTCGATGTGTAAGTGAAAACAAGCGATGTAATTGGTGAAGAAGCAACTTCACTGAACAATTTGTGTTTAGAGGTGCAGTCATTTGTGGTACAACTTCTCAAAAATGAATCATCATCATCGTCTTTATATTTGATCGTACAAAGCCTTATACTTAAATGATCCTGGTTACTAGTGGACTGTGGATTCGGATCAACCCAGGATTGTTCAAGCAGTGAAACTGCACTCTATAAACGTATTGAACGATGCAATCTTTTGGTTGTTCTCCTTCCTGTATTTAAAAAGCCTGAAATCGAAAATAAAGAAACGACAGTGAGTTTGACCACAAAATCACTGTGATCCTCTGAAATTGTTGTGTTGTGAGATAATATCACAGTGACATAACACAGTTGTGTCCGTGTGATATTTGATTTGTACAAGTGTAAAGAATGTTTATAATAAGTTGTTTAGATTTTGTTTTTGTATGATATGTTAAAGTCGATCATTGACAGTTGAAAAATCAATCCTGTGGATTACGGTAATCGAAAATATGCTTTTGAATCCTATGATTAAAAATCAACGATACATATAAATTCAAAAAGGTACCTATCAGAGAATCAATGTGCCGTTCACAGTCCCTGTTTTATTAATTGCTAATTTGGTTTAACACAAATAGGAATGGCATATCTTTGAACTTTTCTTACTCGATCATGTTATTTGAAAACATCACTTTCTATCATTACTATTTTTCTTCTTTGTTAACCCTGTCTTTTTATAGATTTATTTTGTAAATATTTATTATTAGAGATACCAAAGAACAATGTAAAGATAAAATAATGTTATTTGCATTTTGACTACCAGTATGTTTTATATGACAGCATAGAATAGATTTTTCACTTTTGTAATATTGCTAACTTAGGAAAAACCTTTTATATGTAACACAATAGAATAGGTATTGTAATTAATCATAGTAAACTGTTAACAATTATCTAGGTAAAACTGGTTGTAAAAAGGTTTTACTAGATATCATAAAACACGACATTTGTAATGTCGGTTTGAAATATAAGCGACTGAAAAACCTTCATTTAACAATTGGATTTTTTGTAAACGTAATCAAGAACTTGTATAAAAAGTATTAATAGTAGCTAAACAAACAAAACATCATGGAAATCCAACAACAGAACAATTCCGTTTGATTTTAAGTGATCTTTGAAGCTAGTCATCTTTTCATTTTTGCATTTGTATTTAAGAGGTTTATTGATGTATATATTAACTAGTGTTATACTCAGTTAGGATATTAGACATTATGTTATTAATAGTTAAAATCACAAAAAATTCCAAAAAGTATCATGCTAAGGATACTTACTCTGTTTTAGACGATTTTATTAATTTCATTTCAGAACTTTACAAGACATAACTTAATAGTTCCTATTATATAAAGTAGTATAAAGTATTCATTACTTTTGTTTGTCCTTATGTAACTATACTGCATTTGTTAAAAGAATATTTTGTCTTAGAAAGCTAATTTTTGTTGCACAGATTTTAATTTGATTTCAATTACAGTAGACTAATATTAATCAAAAATCTCTTTGGTGAAACGGTTTATATCACTGTAACTAGTTCAATTTATAAAAAAAAAAAAAATTTTATTTGCATATCCCATAAGATTTTTTTAAAAGGATTCAAATTTTAATTCTGCATCATTGACCTGCGCCTCAACATTGTTATGCCTGTCAAAATTTGACATAATTATTTAATAATTCACAGATAGGCTTCCGTGCTGGAGATTAACAAATATGGGGAATCAATTAAGACAGCAATACACACACCAAGGTGCATATCTGAAATGTTTGTTTCAAAGTCAGTTAAAATGAACAGTAGTATATGCTAGAAATGGTCCTTGGATGACATTTTGATTAACGTAGTTCTACTGAATGAAATCACAAACCAGTAAAATGTCTTATTACATCACAAACAATACATCAATGAATTTAGTTCAGCAACATTCAAGTGAAAAAAAGATTAATTATTCATTTGTTATCATTATTTTGTTTTTGTATGCACAGATATATTTGAAAATTTTATTTAGAATAAGAATTACCTTCAAGTATTGTCTCAAATCAAAGTAGATTTAATTAAATAACTTATTAACCACTTAAGGCAATAAGACTGGTATGTTCTTCAATCGAGTGTTTATGTTTAAATGGATAAAAATACTTTATAGTTTCAATAACCTATATATTATAAAAATAATTCCTAACATGATATTTTGTTGTTTTATGTTTTTTACAAATATCATTGTTGGGTAAATGAAAATGTTCCACTTTTCTACCTCACTGAATTGTATGCATTAAAACTATTTATTTGAGATTACAGTGTTTTTATTTTGACATCTCTTAAGGTACAGTAGTATTCATCCCTTTGAACCTTAAGGGGTATTAAATTAATCAAACTTGGTCTATTTGTTAGTTTGTTTTTCCAAACAATTTTACCATACAGTGTGTGTCACAGTAATAATACAGTATGTGTATAATAAAATATGAGACATTATATGTTGCGTCTTTCCAAAAGAAACAAATACAAAATTGGGGGGAAAAAGGACTTTAGGGACTGAAAATAACATTTTCATCACTCCGTAACGAAAATAACTATTTTCGATAACACCTGACATCAATGAAAGTTGTCGTTTCCCAAGCTCTAATTTAGGGCGAGGGAAAATCGATCAGCTGATTTTCCCTCGCTCTAAATTTACTTTCCCTCGCTCTCAATTAGTTCTCCATTTATTCACTACGCGCGCTGGTGTTTTGTTGGGAATGTTGCTGAAAGTCAACAGTCCCGGAAGATCAAATAATTTATACCTGTGCCGCTAGGTCAAAAACTACAATGTTTGCAGTGTCTGTAGATCAAAATTCCCAGTAAGTCAAATAGTACAGTCCGAGCTAAAAACGTGGTCTATGATAAAGCAATTGACTTATTGGGAATTTGACCTAATGCAACAGCAGTTTTAATATAACGAAATACGGTAAAATACAAGTTCAGTTTCGCTGAGTCAACAGTGCCGGAAGATCAAAAGCAATAAAAGTGAACGTCGATTCAGTATAAAGTAGACCTCCTGCAACGCTTACTACACCAACAAAACTCGCTTTTAGTTACTTCGTGTTTTGTCATAATTAGAATAAAGCTAAAATTATCATATTTGTTACATAGCTTATCTATTAATGCTTCTTGCCAACTGTTTGGTCAACACTGTAAATAGGTATAGTTTATGTAATAAAAAGCCTTTCGTCAAAATTTGTGGCATGAAATACACGCAAGGGCGATTTGAAAATTTCTGGTTATTATATACGTTTGTAAAAGGAGATCCATTTAATTTTAGAACTATTTTATGAGTTATAATGTAGTCTACACATAAACTGTGTAAACGTATTACGCCTCGGAAGGGTTGAAACCTGTCCAAACTATCATATATATTATTAAAACGTAAATGGGGTTTTTTCACATTCTGAATCAACCAGTCGACGGATTTTCATTATTTTTGTGTTGAAAGAAAGATAATTTTGAGAACCAGGGAATGTCAAAGCCATAATTATAATTAAGGGTACCAGTTTTTTAGAAATTAAGTTTTAATTTTTTTAAAGTCTAGCAGCCGACGCTAACCTTCTAAGCTAGCTTTTAGTTCAATATAATTTGCTTAACATAACAGCTGTAAACATTCAGCATATGTGACACAAATTTAAAGACATATTTAGAGTTGACTTATTTATACTATGTGTAATGCTGACCATTGATACATTCAATTCTTAGGTATGAGGATGGCATATTAATTAAATATGCATAGTAAACTAGTAGGATGTTCAAATTAATTTTTAAAGGAATCTTTGTAATCATTGATTTGTTTTAGTCCCATATAATTTGTTTTAACCAACAGCTGGTTGAATGTAATATTGTTCTATATAATTATTAGGTTTTTGGTGAATTTTCCATATAGGGAATAAGCTACTAAACACCTGGACCCGGGACCAATTTAATTTTTAGTTTTGAGGTCCCTAGAGGCCAAAAACATCATCCGTTCAAATTCATATATACAGGGTGATCAACTCAAGGAGGCCACCATTGGGAAATCGGAAACGGTAAGAATTAGAGAAACCTTTAAATGGGGGACATTCCTTTATTTTTTGTGGCAGTTAAAAATATGATTTTAGTTTTTTATCATGTTTTCGGATAGAATATGCAATTTAAAAACTTTTTTATTCTTGACATTTTTTCGATAAACCCACTCGTTTAGGAGTACAGCCTATGGAAAAATGACTTCCGGTGTACATTTTACATCATGTAGCTCCTAAACGAGTAAGTTTAGAGCAAAATTGCAAAAAGTAAATTCGTCTTAGAATTGCATCTACATTCCTTAAAGACTATAAAATAAAAAGTTTTCCACTTTTCAAGTTTTAAAATAATATAATTCATATTTTTAATGAATTTTATGGTCTTTTTTGGAATGTGGATGCAATTGTAAGACTTTTTTACTCTTCGCATTCTTGCTATAAACTTACTTGTTTAGGAGTTACATGATGTAAAATGTACACCGGAAGTCATTTTTCCATAGGCTGTAACTCCTAAACGAGTGGGTTTATCGAAAAAATGTCAAGGATAAAAAAGTTTTTCAATTGCCTAATCCATCCGAAAACATGATAAAATATAGGGTGTTCCATAAGGAATTTCAAATTTGGCCGCCATTTTGGAAAATGGCGGCTGAGTAAAAAAAAGGAACCAAAATCATATTTTTAACTGCCACAAAAAATAAAGGAATGTCCCCCATTTTAATTTTTCTCTAATTCTTACCGTTTCCGATATCCCAATGGTGGCCTCCTTGAGTTGATCACCTGTATAGCCTATATTTATTTATTTACATATTTTCCCCGGGGGGAACCCCAGGACCCCCCTCCTTTTTGGGGGGTATTCCATACCCCCCAGGCCCCCGGTGACCCCCCAAAATATATGTCTAGGACCGCCCTTGTCTTCTTTACCTATAAAACACATGGGATACAGCCTTTCTTCACTGATCACGTAATGCGTGATTTTCTATAAAGTCTTGGAAAAATAAAAGGTAAAATAGATAGAATACAGGTGTACTGTATGTGGTTTACACATAATGATATAAGCAACGGTTCTTGCAATTTATTGCTTATTGTTTTTTAGAGTTGTTTTCGGACTTACTCTGTTTTCAGACTTTCTCACACTCGTATAAGGTTGTCCACAGCTGTTAATTAATAGTCCATACAGTCAATTAATAGCAACAGAGGTCATGTTTGGTATGAAGTTAAAGGTTTTATTCATAAAAATACATTGCCGCAAACCAAAACTCAAACGATGATGATGATGATAATCATGTTAATGATGTAGCTAAAACGTATCGTTTGAAATTAAACAGCTGAAAATAAGTGAAATAGAAAAGGTTTTTGTTAAATCCATCAAAGTAAGTACTAATGCACTTGTGATCCCTCCCCCTTCGGTATCATGTATTCCTCTCAATCAGTTCATACCTAGGAGGATTAAACTATAATGTTAATTAATGTTAAATCCTCCTAGGTTCAAACCTGAAACACCCAGATCGAAACTCACCTGTCGTTATTTTAACATCGCCATATTTTTTTACTATATTTTTCAAAAAAGAAAGATTGTATTGATTTACTTTGGATTTTTAAAAAGGGGAACGTTTTATTTTATTAAAGATTTATATGGTGATACGTAAATATTGTGGTGTAGTAAAGTATATTATATTGTAGTTAAGTGTTAAATTTTGAAATGTTAAGGTAAATAGAGATGAATCTTTTTTAATAACATGGGTCTCTCCTACCTTAACATACATACCAAGTTTCATTAACATCGGTTGGAAAAGTGTAAAGATAAATATTTGTATGTAAAAAATACAAAATGGCGGATATCTGGTTAACGAAACGATTTTGGAAAAAATGTTACGGTATCCTTCATTTTCTGTTTATTTTGACCCAAGGAATTACTAGGTAAAATATCTTCCCGCTTATTTTTAACACCCTGTTTATGATGTATTCTTATTAATATAAGTGAAAAGTGTAAGCTGGTAATACAGAAAGATGTTTTTATGAATGTACTGGTGATTTGTATATTCATATTTTTCTTGTCCTTAGAAGTGTAAATTAAAAGTCCACTCAGCAGTCCCATCGTACGATGTAGTTCTTTCCATGCGTTGCGAAATGCTAAATTTGCCGTCATCTTCAACCCAAGTTATCTATTGAACCACTGATTGTAAAAAATTTAAAAAATAAATATTTTACGCATCACATTTTTAGCTACAACTTTGCCACAGACAAAACCTCTCTAACCCAAAAACAAACAAAAAATCTAGCATGCTAACTTTCTCATGTTAGAAATCACGATTTAAAACTATTTCACCATACATATCAATTTTTATTAATTAGATCGGTAAATAGTTTAAAGTTCCAACAAAATAGTCATCGAGTAGGACTAACCAAGAAGCTCTGTGCCAAATTTCAAAATTTTAGCACAACTTTAAGTACACCAAAACACGAAATTATTGAAGTCATGCGTCGAGAGGACTATCGTTGTTTTTAACAGATTATACTTTTGACCTTCCGGCACTGTTGACTTAGCGAAACTGAACTTATATTTTATCTTATTTCGTTATATTAAAACTGCTGTTGCATTAGGTCAAATTCCCAATAAGTCAATTGCTTTAACATAGACTACGTTTTTAGCCCGGACTGTACTATTTGATTTACAGGGATTTTTGATCTACAGACACTGCAAACAATGTAGTTTTTGACCTAGCGGCACAGGTATAAATTATTTGACCTTCCGGGACTGTTGACTTTCTGCAACGCGTCCGTTTTGTTATGTTTTAATTTAATGATTTGAATCAGCTGTATGCGTATTGTTCAAGGTTGTTTTATTCTTTTATTTTGATATTTAAACAAAATGTATTGAGAAATATACGTGGGTTACCTTTTAGAATTTTTTTTTATTTTATTTTGATGTTCAATCAAATTAATTGAGAAATAAAATAGTTGTAATATTACTGAGGTATGCTATTCTGTGTTTGTGTATTTTTGCGTCGTGTTGAAAAGTATCGTTCATAACTCGTACCGAAAGTTATTATCCGGCACTTGCTCCATTATTCCCGTCCTCGGCTTCGCCTCGTACGTGAAGATAGCTCTCACATACTCGGCTTCGCCTCGCACGTGAAATTGATGTTCCATGTGTTCGGCTTCGCCTCACACAAAAACTTGAGCGCGCGACGGAAAATGCCACTTTCGGTCCTAGTAATGAAATATACTATTTCTATAGTCATATTG